GACAGTGACAATGGTGACACTGGAAATCCAGAAAAAGCATTCTCTTCCCCCAATGGAAAGGGATTGGCCATAGTCAACCCGGTTGACCAATGGTAAGAAGAAAAGGCTAAGTCTGAGATAGTCCCATTACCAAAGGGTCCATATGTTTATTTTGCCAAAGGAAGGGGCGTTGATTGCAAAGCTGCCAAGTTTACCTAAGGATGTTAAAGTCAATAAGTCTGACTCTACTTTAGGTAGAGCCCATTATCTAACTCTGTTAAGTTTCTATTCTAAGATCCTCATTACATGATGTGACTGGGTCACATGTTGATGTTTTAAGAATCAAAGAATAGAGAGAAAGCTTAAAGGAAGTATATGCTGATTCTGATCGCGTAGGTGGATTTCAATCGCATCGGAATCTTGAAGCTGTTACTTAGGAGTTATGATATATTGCTTAGGAATATATAACAACAAGTTTTTCCGTATGCATTTGCACTATAAGGATAAGTTTTTTCCGCAAAGTTTTGAAATAAAATAAAAGTTTTTAATTTTATATTTATTTTAAATATCCTTACAAGTGGCATTTGTGAAAAATGGTGTTTATATGATTCCATTGATAGCAATATTTGAAAAAAAAAATGGACTTGATTCTTTCGTTTGTGGTAGTGTCATAATTTACCAAATAAGGAAATTCTCATCTCATTCCCAAGGCTTCAGTTGGATAGAAACTTGGAATCATGCAAGTTGAATAGTATGATGAATAAGAACTTTCAAGCATTGGAAAATTAAGACTTGTTCACATGGATGTGTAAGTCAAGTTAAGGACTAAAGGGATCGAGTACACACTCTTGTGCACTGGTCAAGTCCACCACAAAGCTCGTTAAGACTATTCTTCATGATTTACTAAATTTTAGTAAATGTGGTTATACTTACAAGTTTTAAGTATAATTCTGAAACATTGGAAAAGTCTCAATGTATGGCAGAACGAATTGAAGAATCAAATTAGGCAAACAGATAAAGTTTCTCAATCTGAAAAGATGGGAGAGTACTTTAGTATCATGTTTTGTGATCATCTTAATGATTAAAGAACCACATCACAATTGGTCTTCTAAGGACATCTTAGTGCATTCTTATGACTAAGAAGAGGAGTCATGAATTGTTGAAATGGTTAAATCAAGAAGATGAGTCATACTTCGTTTCAAAACAAGTCTTAGAGTCATACTCCAAGACTATAAGTTGAGTGACATATCTTAAAGAAAGGTTTATACACTTGTCAAATGTAAGAGTAAAAGTGTCCTACTCTTGTACATTTGAAGTTGGTAAGTTGTGATGTTTTGGATTAAACAAAGACCAACTAAGGCCAATTGTGTGAAGTGTTTGTCTTGATAAAGAATCCGCACTATCTCTTGAATATTTGGCAAGATAGTCTTATATGTCAAGAGGACAGTGAGAGTCTTAAAGATCCTAAAAGTAATTTCAAGAACTAATCAAGAATAAAACCTGAGGTTCTTAACTAGCACACGACTTGAGGTTTATAACCTATCATGTTGACATATTCTGTGCCCATTCCAGTTAAAGTTGGCTTAGCATAGGAGTTCTGAAAGTTCTCAATTGGTTGCATAACAACTTGGAAGCAATGTCAGGCCCTGTACTGCCAAGTGGCAAGAAGTTAAGATTGTATAAGTTCAGTCCATATGAGTTTGGATTTGTCATTATCCTTGTCTTGTGACTATGGTTTTGACGATTCACATGGATAGAACACATACACCATAAAATCTAAGGGTCATAAGGTTTCTCTCCGATTCATGAAAATGATGGTGAGGAAACACTTCCACCAAGTAGATTTGAAGCAGATGGCAAAAGGTCTAAACAATTGAGACTATGATTACGGGCATCCCTTTCATAGTTCTGAAATTGTTTAGACACACATGCATGTTATCTAAGGAAAGGTGTATGATTTTGATAAAGTTTTATCAAAGCATCTCGTATCAGAAATCTGAACTTTGGTAAGGAAAGTCAATAAAGTATTGATTTCTAGAAGTCCAGCTGATTTCTGAGTACATGTCAAAGCTAGTGGGAGCATAAGTGTTATGCTAATAATCATCATGTTAGTGGGAGCATGATAATTATTGTTAGTGTTGCAAGTTAGCAATGTTAATTATAGAAAACAAAAGTTTCAATTCGTGAGGCTGTAGGGATTGAAAAAGTTGTTTTGCTATAATTAAGGGAGAGGATATACTTCATTTCAGTTCTAAAGGCTTAGATTGAGACCTTAATCATCTTTAGTCAAGAATATATATATGAATTTCATGTTGGATTGGTTCAACTTAAGGAAATTCTATATATTGCGTTCTCAAAATTCGATTATGATTAGGCCATCCCTCTTCATAGTTAAATTTTGAAAACATGGCAAATAAAATATTGTAGCAAAAGACTGGTCTAGAATCATGTCTTTATGTGAGACATCATGAATCGTGTACCATTTGCTTTGGGTACAGGATCGATTGCATGTGCTATAATTTTGTCATTTCTAAATTTTCCAAATGCCCAGAGGCATTAAGAAGGGAAAAGGTCTAGAATTGGATATGACTAAAATGATTAAGCAATTGTCGAGGACAATCTGAGGTTTACCAAGATTGGTTGCTCAGGGATAGTTGGAAGTATAGTGCTAATTTTGGAAGGACCATATTGACATATTCTGAAAAGAGGCATCTCTTATTCAGAAGTGATAGTCAAAATGAGAATATGGAGTTGTCTCCATAGGTGGAAGTTATCTGTGTAAGATTAGAAAACTTAATGCAAGAAGCATGTCCAAGCAATGTACTTTGAATATGAGACTTAGTTTCCATGGAGTTGATCTCCATTGGAATACCTTATAATGATTGTTGACAAGTCTTTGTGACTTTGTACATATTCATTACAGGAGGGTCAGTGCATATAAGTTTAAAATCTAAACAAATTTCGATAAATGATAGGAATTTGAAATTCTCACATTTTTCGATAAGGATTTGGGAGTGTGAAATTAGAATCATTGAAATTATGTTCAATTGGTTTATTTCACAAAGTAAGGATCATAGAAAAACATAGAGTGCATACTTGGTGTATGGAAAAGCTATTGTTTAAAAACATAGTGTACATGCTTGGAGCATGTGGACAACTAGTGTTTTTAATTCAAGTATAAAGTTGATAAAACCGAAACAATGAATAATGAGTAATCAGTATGGTGATAAATAAAAGTGTTTATTTATATTCATAGGTTTGATACCATATTTGATTCATTTATTCTTGTGTTTCACTTTGCATGTTTTGACTTCCAGAATAACTAAGTCGCTCTTCCTGAATGATTAAGTTATTCAAACCATCCACAGTCGGTCATATGTTGGAAGTAGATATGAATCAAGACTGTCATGGGTTGGTTGTAGAGGTCCAAGTTGGTGGACAAAGTGGTGCTACAACACTCATGAGTGCTCATAAGTTCTGAGTATTGGATTCAACCCGCGCTCATTTGAATCACTTCATGGATTTTATCACGAGTGATCATGAGACGATAATATCTTATATTCTTCAAACCTAGAGATATGAGTTGTTACTGTGAGTTGGTTGTACATTGATTGCACGAAAACGCATTCGGTAACTCGATGTTATAAAACGTGCCTTTGTGTATGATTCAACAAGTAGTAGAACAAGCCATATGAGTCGAAGTTTATCCATTCCTTTTACCTTCGGGATAAAAGTGATATCTGTGGGCCCCTCGATGATTTAAAGATGATACATGTGAGTGCTTGGCCAAGCCAGGACTGATTTGATTTGTTCAATCAGTCAGTCATCATGAATCGGAAATCGAGAAACAACAAATGGACAGAGAGAATGATTGATAATCCATGTCTCAGTCCATATGATATCTAGAATGGAGGAATATATGATCCCTTATCTAATGGACAAGTCATTGACAAAGGTCAGAGTTCATCGACAAGGTCAGAGTTCGACAGAAGCTTTTGAGAGCTACGATTGCTGATCGGTTCCTGAAGTCATACGCAATAATAGTTTTAGATTTATCCAAGTGGGAGACTGTTGGATTAGTGTCTAAGTCCATAACTATAATTGGTAAGACTTGACCCGACCCGGCATGGTCCATTTGGGTTGCATGGCATCATGCATTTGGATAGACTATAATGAGAGAAATAACACTTAAGGTTGGTTAATATATTATAAGTTCTAATATATTAATAAGGTTATTTAATTAGTATTGATCAAGAATTAATTTGGAATTAATTAAGTGATCAAAAGGAGACTAATTAAATATATGGGTTAATTGTGTAAATCATTCATTCTTATATATGTGGGGCTTGTGATCCAAGATTCCTTATGTTGGACTAAGTCCATGGGGTGACCCATGGATACTCCATGGAGGTTAAAATCCATGGAGCATAAGGAATGGGTAAAGTTATGAGTTACATGGTGTAACCCTAATAGCCACCATATAAAAGAATCCCATGGCTCAAGAACTCATGCACTAATGTGCGAATATGAGGGCTAGACGATTTCAAGGAGTGTTCCATATCTCTCAAGTCATTCCATGTGCATTTGGTGTTGTGTGAACCATTTGAGGTGTCACACTTGGGGCACTAGGCACTCAAGCTTCATGGAGACAAGCTACATCAAACAAAGGTATGTATTCTATCCATTTGATTACCCAAGTATCAGTATTGTATGCTAGATAGGGTAATACCTTGGAAAGTTCATAATTACGTGTATAATAGAGAAAACATAGATCCAAGGTATTTAGGGTTGCATGTACACTTAGGAGTGTTAGAATGCGCAAAACCCATCAAGAAGATGTGTGAAAGAGAATTTCCTCAATACCATCAGCTACCATCTGGGCAGTTACTCTAATACGTTTAAGCTCAGGCTTAGATCGATGTATTTGCTTCATTTGTATCTGCTAGAGTACCATCGTCTTGAGGAGGATCAGGTGGAAAAGAATAGAACTTAGCTTCTTGATTATCGTCATGTTCTTGAGACTATTTTTGAGGTAAGGGAGAGTAATCATTGAGATCAATGTTAAATGTCATGGTAGATGGTTTGGAGTATAGGACAATTGACATGTCGTGTGATTCATCATCAACTATCAGTCCTTCACTGGAAGGTATGTCTACCGTTTGCATTGGAGTATCCTCATCTTGATTATCTTTTACTGTAGATATTTTAGGAAGATCTTCAAGTTCGGATTGCTTTTCACCGTCTTGATCATCGTCCTCAAATGAGTCATAATCCAAGGAGACACGATTACTTGGACTTTCTAGAACCGACTGAAAGCCTGCTGGTGAAACTGGAGCAAATTTAGAAGGAGATGTGGGTTCATCTAAATCTACCCCAAGATTATCATTAGAGACGACTGGAGGTGGAATAGAAGGCGGTTGATCTGAGTTTAATCGCTTTTTCTTCTTTGCCGACTTCTTAGATGCATGATCTGAGTGCTTCCTCTTCTTTTTCGGAGACAAAGTAGTTCCTTGGATGTATTTTTGATATGAGCGTAGAGATGCACTATTTTCATCCAACTTTTCAAGTATAGCATCTAAAATGATGACTGGATGTGAAAACTCAGATTCAGATACAATACGAATCCTATGTGGTGACATACGCAAGTACAGTGGTAGTGGGCCTTCTGGAGTCTTCTCTGGTGTAAGATTTCTATTATTGATGACATCATGAATAATGATAGACCACCAGCGAGGATGATGAATCAAGAACTTATTCTTTAAGGCAGGGAGAAAGGTAAGGAAGTCTTACCAAAGAATAGACGCGTAGTCAACATTGATGTCATAGAAAAGCCCATACATGCCAAGCCAAAGATCTGTTTTACTGTGACTGCGTCCATCATCTGATCCGAAAAGACACCGAGTGAGGACGAAACTGAGAAAGTGCCATGGCGTAGGAAGGCAAGCTTTCCCATTTCTTGAAAGGTTTGGTTCAATGTTTTCTTCAAATTTGTATCCCATTTCCTTGAACATTATCAATAGTTGAGCAGAATCAGGTGTGAAAAATGTCTTAGGTTGATGAGAACCAGTGCTTAGACCTAAACTGGTCGCGAACACTTCTTTAGTTAGAACCAAGTTAGTTCGAAAAAGATCAAATTCAACATCAAGCTATTTTGACTTTGCTCTTGGAGAGATGGATACAGATGAAAGGACGTTTGAAATAAGAGATTGTGGAGTTGGAGAAGTAGAAATGAGTGCATATGCCAATAGGCATTTATGCAAATATTCAACTATAACACCGAATTCTTGAGGTTGTTCCTGAGTTTTAAGAAGTGCAATATAGTTGGATGCGACCATTGCGATTTTAGGTGATGATGAGTCTGTCACAGTGGAAGGTCCAGTTGCTTGAGATTTGGACGCCTTATGAGATCTCTTTTCTTTGGAAGTATGTCCATCTTCTTTGGAAGCCATGTCTTGAGAGAACAAAAGAAGAACAAAAATTGGAATTTATTGTTAGTTAAATACATATAGCTAGAGAGTAGTAGCATACAATCTTAACTAAATTACAAAAAAAAGGAGAGGGGGGAGGGTTAAAAGAAAAAATGTATGAATTTGCATTAACTGAACAAAGTTGTGACTTGAGTAGTATTGTTGATTCAACTATAGACAAGCGGAATCTACAAATTCAAATTCACTAAGTATAGGCCTGAAAGTGAATGACATAACATGTAGGAATAAAAGAGAAAGGACTTGATGTCATATAAAAAAATAAAAAATAAAACAAAAAAAAATTGATGTTACTAAATCATAGAAAAAGTGCAAGGATCAAGTAAAACTGCTAAGTCATGGCCTATGATGACTATGGCATATCATATAAAGATGTCTTTAGAAACTAACAGAAAATTAGATATCATAGAGATAATAAGTGACAACTATATATGTAAATCCAAGAACACATAGAAGAGTTGAAAAAAAATATTGATCTTATAAGAACATGTAAAGAGCATGAAAATTAAGATCACAAAAGTATAAGAAAAGAGGCATTACCTTAAAAAAGAAGAGTGAAGGTAACAGACATGTGAAAATGAAAAGCAAGATATGCACCAATAAGTATAATGCTCACATGAGAGATTTGATCAAAGGATCAACACTAAATAACCTAAACATTGTATGTGAAAGTGAATGAATGACCAATAATAATAAAAGAAAAAAAAATTGATGCTCACCCAATATGATTGCAACAAGAATAGGTGTTCACTAAGAAAAAGTGATAGGCCAATACTAGGGGAACCTAACCATAGGAACATATGTATAGACACAAATCATCAACTAAGGAGGGATAACCTTATCACATGAGGGTATGTGAACAAGCAAGAGAGATGTTACTTACTAGTTGATGTCTTGTTGAATCAATGAGCAACAAAAAGATAAAGCAACACTTTTGACAATGACACTAGAGATATTCAAATCTATGTTATGTCAAGAAAGGAAACAAAACTTTAGAAAGTGTACACCATGATCATCGTTAGGTGAAAGGAAAGAAAATTAATACTTACCTAGAGTGATCAAGGAATGTATTACTCAACACATAATGATGATGGACCAAGTGATGACAATTACTAAACACATGATGATCCAATAATCACTATTAACTTAACTATGATGTAAAAAACAAAAGAAAAATATACATGCAACATATGACAATACTTATGAAGCTAACTTGTGACAACTAGAGTTTCAAAAAAGATTATGATGCTTACCTAGAATATGGAGATGATCTACTAAAGAAACAAGGTTGGATGATGATGCTCCAACAAGTAGTTGATAATGCTCCAAAAGAAAAACTAGGGTTTGAACAAAACAAAAAAACGATACTAGGGTTTAAAAGAATGTATATTAGGGTTTTAAAAAAAATGATGATGCTCACCTAGGGTTTGTGAATGGCGCAAGAAGTGATGATGAGATCAAGTGATGTTGCTCCAAGACTTTGATGGCCAAGATGCTCACTAGGGTTTTGAAATTGGGGTATGGAGCAAGTAGGGTTTGTGTATGCTTGGTTCTTGCTTGATGATCACAATAGATATATGATGGCGCAAGATGGTGGTCACAAAATCACTTGTTGATCACAAAGGTTAATAATAGCGCAAGAGTGATTAGGATATGGCGCAACAAAGATTTTTGTTGACTTTGGATCAAGAGAGTGATCAATGAAGAAGTTGCGCCATGGGGTATTTATAGGTCATGATTTTAGGGTTAGAATGGAGTGTTGCACAATATAGGGTTTTTGAGTGTGGCTCAAGAAAAAATGGCGCAAGTATGGTTTTTTCGAGATTAGGTTGTTGTGCCAAAAAAAAAAATTCGGTTTAGGTTTCTTCTAAAGATGGCGCAAGTAGGATAATAAAAAGTTGGAGGTTGTTGCGCAAAGGATAATGAGAGGTTGGGTTTTAGGGTTAGCAAAAAAGTTGTGGCGCAAGAGGGATTAGGGTTGGAGTAAAGGGAAAGGAAGACTTGGTGCACAAGAAAAGAGAAAGAAGAGGGATAGCACAATAGAAGAAGAAAAGGCGAGATGATGCAAGAAGAGGATGGGTTGGCGTAAAAAGGGTGTGAGGAAAAGGTTGCTGTTGTGCCAAGAAGATGTGCCAGGGGAAGGTTGCAAGGTTCAAGAGGGAAGGATGGGTTGGCACAAGAGGGAGTGGCGCAAGAAGGTTGCGAGACCAAGAGTTGTTGCGCCAAGAGACTTGTTACGCCAAGGAGAGTTGACTGAGGATGAGGCTTGTACGCCAAGGAGTTGCGAGGCCAAAGTTGTTGTGACAAGGAGCTTGTTGCGCCAAAGTTGTCCAAAGAGTTAAGTTTGTTGTACCAAACCGAAGTTGAAGCTTGTTGCACCAAACCGAATATGAAGCTTGTTGCGCCAAACCAAAGATGCTCCACGGTCTTTTGCTCGCGAAGTGATTTTGCTCCAAACTCAAGAAAATTTCGATTTTGCTCCAAAACAAAATTCGATGTGCTCCAAACGAGTATGAGTAAGAATTTGTGAGAATGAGAAAAAGAAAGAACGAGGAATAGAAATAAAGTATTGATAGGTGAAGGTTTATAGGGTTTCTCAGTGAGCCGAGATAAGGATTGCATGGGGCAACTTGTGGGCCCAGAAGACTTGGATGACACTTAAGTATAAATAGGAAAAAAAATCAAGTTGAGTCGCGAGCAAGAAAAGATGACTTGAGAATCAAGAAAGAAAAGGTGGCACATGCATGGATGTTATCTTTGAGATGTGAATAGAATGTAAGGAATGTTCATGACCTACTCGAGACGTGCATGACCTACTTGAAACAAGCATGACCTATTCAAAATGTGCATGACACATTTTTTATGAGCTATGTGGACTTGATGATCCACATGGACGTGATGCACCAAGTGGCTGAAGATGCTCTAAGTTCTTGAACATGCTCCAATATTCTTAAACATGCTCCAAGTTAGTGAAGATGGTCCAAGTGATCAAGATCCTTCAGGTTGGTGAAGTTTCTCCAAAGTACATCTAGTTGGTCCAAGTTAATGAAGTTGCTCCAAGAGAATCTAAGATGCTCGAAGATGAATACAGTTGCTCTAAATTTGGTCAATGTACCTGAAGTTGTTCCATGTTGGTCAAAGTGCATGAAGTTGCTCCAAGATGCTTTCAGTTGGTCCAAGATGGTTCACAAATGTCCTTTAAAGCTTTTGATCTTGTCCTTCTTCGCTATATATGAGAATGCTTTATGAGCCAAGACAAGCACATATGGTTTTCTTGAAGGGGATGGTTCACTTGTCATAAGATGCTACACTTGGCTAAGGATGTTCCATGATCAAGTAAGTGATATTCTCTATCGAACTTAGCTGCTTTACCTAGATTCTAAGGCATGATTTAAACAAAAAGTATGAAATTGAAAACACTAAATAATCTAACTTTGAAAGTGATGTGTATGCATGTGGATTGAGAATCTGAGAATGGAATAGTAAAATGCGGTGAAGTGTGTGCATATGGAAAAAATAATCTTAAGGAAACATTAAAGCTTAGAAGGATGGCTGATTTAGAAGCATTGTGGATTATCTTGCTGTCACTTACATATTTATCAAGCAACTAAGTTCTGTATATGATCCTTCACTTCGCATTGAAAAGAATTTCCTTTGTTGATTATTACTTTTGAACTTATTAACATCATACAGAATAACCCGATTTCCACTCACCAATTATGTATCATCGCAATGCGTATATTTGTGACTGAGGCCTATTTACTTCCCTAACCCTAAATACTGACAATCCTCATAAACGTTCCCCACTTATTTTGAACAACATTTATTTTTGGCATTCCTACCACCTATACCTTTTTATTTACCCCTTTCGTTTCAAAAGGTATCCCCAAATTCCAAGTGACACGAGTTTAAAAGAAAAAAAAAATACTATATATAATAATTGACCTAAGAATATAACTACACTTCTTTATATTTTTGTAGAATTTTTTTATTTTTTGAATCTTTTCTTATAACTCTAACTTTGACAAAGTACACAAGCAAATAATTCCTAGCTTTAGTTCCTGCCTTTCTAAGAAATTACTTGGGGTGCTCAGAATCGCTTAGGTCACTAATGGAGTCCATGAATTTCTATGAAACCCTTTTAAACGATATTTCTTCCCATCCATCCAAGCTTTTATAGTTAGGTCGATAGATATAAATATATTCCCCGGGGGAATACTCATCAAGTCCCAAAGGTCACAGATTGACTCCACTCCCGAACTATAATTTATTGAATATATAACTAGACTCAAAGTGTAGAAATTAAACATATAAACTTGGAACTTGAATCGCTTTGTTTTAACTAAGAATCTTTTTAGTAGGTATAGATATTCACTAAGGAAAACTTTTTATGTCCCTCAAACTACACAAGTTCACGCTTTTTTCTCATGAGTTCACTAGGACAGGGAAGCCACAAATATACTATAACACATTGGGTTAACTAAACCTTAGAGTTCGCCTCAAAGTATTCTACATAACATTAGTACTTGATGTATGTTATAACTCTAAGTAGAGTATAACACTGAAGCTTGTTAATGGTCACTAAAGTACTAATATTAGTTGTGTACTGAAGCAAACTGAAGAACCACAGAATTTGGTATTTTGAAAAATCAGTAAAGTGTAGAGAAAATAACCTTTTTCATCTGCATAGTTGTGATAACAACTTGCATTATCTTAGAAAAAATTAAAGATAAAATCTTGTTGGTATTTTCTTTTGTTTAAAGTAAAGACAAAATACATAAAATATAATTTTTTTTGTTGTTTTCTCTTGTATAAAGTAAAAATGAAAGTGAAATCTTTTTGGAGTTCTCTTTTGTGTAAAATAAAAATGAAAATAAATCTTTTTGGAATTTTCTTTTTTGAAAAAAGGCAAAAAATAAAATATTTTTGGAGTTTTCTTAAAAAAAACCTTTTGAAAAAAAAAA